TACAGCTGGCACTTTTTCTTGTGAGTGGTGACTCTGTGCCATACACATCTATAGATTTTAAACTTTTAAAAGGTTTCCTATCAATCATAGTTCTGATAATGCCCCTCATGCCTCACCATCTTTAAAATGAAAAAGAGTATTTGTGGCACCTTAGAGACTAACAAAAAACATAAAGCTTATGCTCAAATGAATTTGTTAGTCTGCCACAAGTACTCTTTTTCTTTTTGCGGATACAGACTAACACGGCTGCTTCTGCAAAACCATCTTTAAAATATGTACCCTCGCAACAGCCCTGTGAGGAAAGGAAAAGCTATCATCCCCATTTCAGAGATGGAGAACTGAAGCACATAGAGACCAAGGATAAACATTTCAAAAGCACCTAAGGGAGTTAGGTACTTACATTCCATTTTCAAAAATGACGTAGGGCCAGATGTTTAAAGAAATTTAGGTCCCTAATGATGCATATAGGTGCCTATCAGGGTTTACAAAACACCTAAGTAGGTGAATTGCCTAACTCTCATTGATTTTACTTAGCTATTCACTAAGGGTAACAAAAACAGACCCTGAGGCTAGAGGACACATAGAGAAGCAAAAAACCGCTCCTTCCATTTGCAGCAGCCAGGGGAGTAGTGAAGAGTTAGTCATGCAAATATGCCCTTACAAAGGTCAGGAAGGCAGTTTTGTGCTAGGAAAGAAAATAAAACTAGCATACCTTTTTCTCCCTTCCAGCAGCCAGAAGAATTGTTTGGTTTGGTTTGGTGAGGGAGAGGGGGAATCATGGCGGAGAGAGGAAGGGGCTCCAAACTGATTCGGTAACTACTAGTCAGGAGTTGCTATGAAAGATGTACACTGTAAGCAGGTTGCAAGGACAGCACCCTGCTACTAGTCCCAACACTTTCCATTCTTCCAGTGGCTGGGGATAGGTATGGGCTGGGTTTTGCATGAGGCCATTGCCTCTGGGATGTTGGTAGTGATTCCTCATTCACTCATTATTTGTACTTGCTTCTGACCAGTAGGTTTTGTCTTCTGACTCACACATACCTGGTAAATTTTTCAATACTGATTTCAGGCAGTAAATGAAAACTGATATGCTAGGAACAATGTATCAGTTTATTGGTATGTGCGTTTCTATATATAAGCAGGATAAAATGTTTCCGCATATACACAGTGCATGCATTGTTAGGTAAGGAGCAGATTAGTAATTCAAATGCATAATATGTGTCATGTGATATAGAAGGGACTTAATTTGCTGGTTGGTTGGGTTTTTTAAAATGCCAATAGCAACGTAAATGGCTCATTTCTATAATTATTATTATTTACTAGATTAAACTTGGTGAATAGAAAAACTCCCATTGATTTCAATGTTCCAAGATTTCATCCACTATTATTATTTAATCCCCAACAGAGTGCTCTGCTTTGTGGAAGACATGGCTCTTATCCCAAGGAACGATCTCCAAAATCAAAAGAAAATAAAAACAATTAATATATGTGGCATGAGCTTGAAACAAATTTAAATATTGAATGCTTCTCCTGTTCATCCAGTCGTGGTGTCCAATCCTAGTTTGCCTGGCATGGAGTCGGGTAAGGCATCACACGCACATGCACACAATCAAAAGATGGATCTTGTTCCCAGCTCTTCCATTAACTGAGGGGGTAGGGAAGGGTGTCCTTCCAAAACTTTCTGGGAAAGAAGAGCCCCAGAGTCTCTACTGGTCTATATGAAAGACTTCTACATTGTCCTGCATGCATAGCAATGGTGCCTAATATATCACTGGCCAAATCCTGCTCTTTATTGTCTTGCGAGGGAAGAGTGGGAAGAAGATGTAGGGAGCCTCTTCCCTTTGCCCAGTTCCCCCTAATGCTCAGGGGAATGTAAGTAGAGGGCAAAGCTACTGTCACAACAAATATTGCCTCAAATGGGGCCTCAACTAACAGCTATGAAATGTGACTACGAGTCCAGTCAGTTACTGTGCACTGTCTCAGGCACTAGGCAGCAGCAGTAAAGCATTCTCAACACCATGTCCTCCCAGGTCCTGTCATGGCAGCATGAACCATGAGAACAGAAGATCCACTTTTCTCCCCAATGCATCTCCCACCATTAAAAGATTTCATCTAAAATCAGCCTACATGGAGCCCCCACTTATACCTCTGCAACTCCACTGAATTGAGTAGGAATGAAAAGGTGTAAGTGAGGGCAGAATATACCCCATGAAGTTTAGATTACAGCTACAAAGGCTACAACTCCTTGTTTTGGAACGTGTGCCCCTAAGATGCAGAGAAGAGATGTGTTGAAATGTGCATGGGAGGAAAACAACTTTCTAACACCCTCTCAAAACTCATACTTCAATCTCAACCTCAGCAAAGACAATACCCATATTAAATGGGCAAGATCTATTAGATACAAATAATCTCACTGAATACACAACTATAAATTAGCTTCTGAGTCTTAATATCAGCATCCCAGTGTCTGGCCCTTTCCAAACATCCGTCCAGCTCTTTCCTTAATAGATTATTTTATTACACACTATTTACATCTTTTGCTGACTTGGGTAGTTTCTTTCATTTTCCCACTCAGTCTTAATGTACACAAGTTCTGCTTTATTTGCTAATATCCCTAAATCTCATTTCTTTCTATAACACTGATATCCTATTTTTAGGAAATCTCATCTTCATTTGTTTTAACTAATGATTCTATAAGGTCTGTGTATGATTAAGCAAAACCTAGACCTTTAGCAATGGGAACAAAATTTTAATTATCTCTAAATTTGTGCCCTACTAAAGCCAGAAAGTAAAATCATAATTTCTATGTGAAAATCAAGTAGCAGGAAGTCCAATATTAAACAGAGAGTCAAGTGTGTTCCTGTATTTATTCTGACAGCAAGTGGTCCTTTGCATGCCCATTTGCCTGGTTTGCACAAATGACTATAGTAACTATGTGCAAAAGCCAAGGTGCACAGTTACACATGCATTTTTGTACATTGAACACAAGCCTCCCTATTCAGAAGTGTTTCCCATGACATCTAATTGCTTGATGTATGTGCACAAATGACATCTGCACACACAAACACATTGTGCATTAAATTATGGGCAAACAAATTGGAGGCTGGGTTGAGGCTTCTTTGAAATTTTGTTCCTTAATTTCTACTCTGATTTTTGGGAAGAGGGCAATGAATTACAGACCCTTGTGTAGAATACTTCCTGCAGTTGGTAGCACAGCATTGCTGTTAGGTAAGTTCCAAGTTACAGACTTACACTCATTCCCTTACACTTCTATGCAGAGCTCAGTCATGTTACCATGCAGTGACACCGTCTGGCTGATTCAGTTGTCAGCTAGCATGTTCGACATTATAGTTGAAATCCACTCCACCTGCATACAGTACCCATAATTGAATTCTGTGTAAGTGGACTGCAGAGAAAGGGGAATTGGGAAATGAAATCCTTGCCCCAAGCCTGGAATCAGTCCTGGAGTCTTCCACTGCCAATCCCCGTCCCCCTCACTCAATGTTGTTTGCAATGAGATATGCAAGCATAACAAGGAGGCTCTTTCGACTGTGCACAGGCATCCCTACATACCCACCCCACACTGAGTTCCCTCGTGCAACTCCAGTGTGGAGCTTATGTACTGTGGAGGGTCTTGAGCTTGCCCTATGCTGCAAGGGTAGATTTTAGAGTCCAAGAGGTAGATTTTAGAGTCCGGATGAGGCCAGGTGCTAAAAGGAGGAAAATGGATGGGATGCTGGAAAATGGATAAAAGATTACCGTATTTCTGAGGCACTATTTTTTGACCCAACAAAGGTTTCAAAATGGTTAACGGAATGGAGTAGTAGAGTGAGTCAAAATTTGGTAACCTTTTTAATGTGGTTCACCAGGCATTTCATGAAGCACCTTTCAGACCAAATTTTCAGCACTGAAAAGGACAGGTCAAAACCCAACAATAAATATAACAATGACAACAGAGATAATAATAATAATTAATAATAAATGGCAGTTATTTACACCACTCCATACAACACTGAAATCGAGATTCTCTGAGTCCAAGTTTCATGCCTACAGGCTCATAGCAAAATTAAAACATATGCATCAGCTTCTGACTTGGATCATCAGAGACCCCAGACTGATTCAATATTGTTCAGTGTGACACTGACAAATGTTCTCCCTCTAGGACAGGCATAAATCTTCCAGAGCTGTACTTGGAGACATTAAATGAGCAAGCTGAAGAAGCCACATTGAATTTGGCTGCTGAACAAAGAAAAGGCTAACTTTTCACTAGCTATATTTCAAATATGTGTTAAGTAGAAATCAGCACAGTATGCAAGAAGTATGCTTGATCGCTTCTGCCTTGAAAGAGGATATTTGAAAATCATGTTGCAGTATTAGGAACTGATTTTTTTGGGGAAGCTGAATATCCTCACATTGCTCTGACTTCAGGGGGGTTCAGCAGCTCTCAGGAGGTAGCCAGTACCTTCACAGGATCAGGCAGTACATTGCAATTGTATCATGAAGAAATCACCTCTTCAGCATATAAACAAACTGGAATTTCCCACAGAATGGAAATTCTGGATCCTACACAGCTCTAATTGTGAATTCAGGCCCCGAAAAATTATGAGAATGGCTGAAAGATCATGAGATTTTAAAAAATAATAAACTTGGGATCCGTTTTATTTGCCTTCTGGCTATTGAGTCTTAAGGGTGCCCTCAGGCAACCTTTTCTCTGCAATCTTGAGAGCTAGAAATCTACCAGTTAATAAATGAAAGCTGAAATTCTCAGATAATTCTATAGGTGCTGGGGCTTTAAAAAAACCCACCAAAGATCACTGGGCTCAGTACAAATGATATTCAGGCATTTTTTTAGAAAAACTGAAATCAAAATGAGATCTGCTAACATGACCCAGTAAAAGCAGGTGAGGATCCTCCCCATCTTAACCATACAGTCTCATCCTTATACCTACTACATTGGTCTTGCTCAACCACAAATAGTAAAAAAAAAAAGTGAATTTTACCTTCTGAATAGTAATGATTCCCTCCTGTGTATCTTTGTCAACAGAAATTTTGAAAACTCCAAGGCCATCACCATCCACAATCTTATATTCCATTTCAGCATTAGGGCCCACATCAGCATCTGCAGCTTTTATTTTGGCCACCACTGAAGCCACAGGCAAGGACTCTGGGACATTATACTGATATGATCCTGTAAAATTTAAAACAATCATTGAACCCGGGGTTATGACTTATATTAACTTTACAACTCTGTTGAAGGTACCACATAAAAGTCTTAGTTGAAAAATAGAACAATTGTTCTTTGAGGTGAAAGATAGTGGGTATCATTTCTCCATCCTCCACTCTCTCCCACCAGGTTTGTGGGATTGTTTAGACAGCATCTCTCTAAATTTAAAGAGTGAAGTAATGAGATGAACTGTTACTAAAAAGGTTCAAGAGAACAAGATTTTTTTGGTATATTTCCTATAATATGAGAGGAATAAAATAAAAGCCAATAGAATGAGTATTAGTCCTAATTTTTATAACTGTAAATCTCAAGGAAGCCCTGCCCATACTTGACATGACTGGATCTTGAGATATACTCAGTTTCTGACCCTTTAATAAGTGCATCTCCCTCTCCCTTGAAAATTTCAACCTTGTAGTACAAGTAGAAAGTGATATACAATGCAGCTAGAAAAGATTTTGGAGTGTAGTGTGCAGCCAATACCATTCTCACCTCCAGAAATAGATTCACTGTTGTTCTATTAATACCACAAGCAATTGGAGGCAGGAAATCTAATTCTCCTTCTCTTTGGACATATTTGTTTTTTCATATACACTTGAGAAGAGGCCAGATTGGGCATGAATACATTCTGCACATTATTCTAATTTCCCGTAGCAATGACTTTACAAGGAAGACCATTGGAAGAAAGAAAAGGGATGAGAAAAAATGTAATTTATAAACAGGGTGCCTCAAATTTGGTAATATACTTGTTTCTTTCCTCTTCTTGCTTAAGTCAAGAGCCATTTTGGTCAACACAAGTAAATTGAGGGCAGATGGTTTTGTTTCTTCCAAGATTGATTTCTTATGAAACACTGAGTGTCTGCACAAGAAAAATCTTGCTGTATTTCCAAAGGAATGTGAAGTTTATGCAAGAAAGAAAAAAATATGCATCTTGAAATCCCAGAAGTAAACGCTGCACTATAAATCTTTTATCTTTCCTTTGACAGTGAAAGAGCAAAAGATATTAATACATGTACATAGTGTGCATCACTGTGTTTAAACTGATCTGAAAAATATTTATGTGTGGACTGGTAAACAAGATAGATTTTTCCAATGTAATAATACTAATACTATTAAAAATATAACCTAGCTGTGATATAACAATTTTTATCCAGAGATCTCAAAGCACTTTAAAGAGGAGATAAGTATGATAAGCTCCATTTTACAGACGGCATGTAATGTACAACATGCAGAACATTTAGAAAAGGTAGCAACTGTCATAAAGTAACTTACTCCGTGGAAACCGTGGTGGATTATCATTGACATCGGTCAAGGTGACAGTTACAGATGTGGTCCCAGACAGTCCACCATTTTGTCCAACCATATCCTTTGCTTGAATAACAAGTAAATACTGGTCTTTGGCCTCCCTATCCATGTTCGGTAGGGCAGTCTTGATAATACCTGGAGACCAACAAAATACACATCATTGGTTGCATTTATTATTGGTAAATATATTGACATAAACATTATGTTTGCCTTAAAAGAATAGTGTTGTAATGAGATAAAAGGATGATTTGGACTAGTTTCTCCATATCTATAATATATTGTCAGGTACAATGGTGAAGGTACTTGTTATGTCGATATGGGACAGCATCAACAGCTATAGATGGGTCTTTCCTATTGTGAAATCAGTGATCAAGAAAAGTAGTTTACTCATAGAAAGCTTTTACATAGGCATCAGCCATGTAGTGTAAGCTCCTGCGGATTGTTTGAAGCTCGGTCTGAAATAACTACCTCTGGGTCAGTTTCCATGTCCATTCAATCCCTTGCATCTCTGCTGAGAGTGCCAAGAAGGGGGGTAATTAGTATAAATTTTGTCATGGTACTTTTTCACTGGGAACTGAACTGAACGGAACCCACAGACTCCTTTCAAAGTTTCCACCAATCACTGCTGTCAGAAGGCAACAATTTGCAACCGATGGTACCATAGGATAGAGGCTTTCTGTGCCATATGGTTTTACACTGCCACATGTCACTGTACGACGAGAGCCCTCTATGAGAAATCAATAGCAATATAAAAGTCCTGGGTGGATTTCATGGAGTTGCTGGCACTTGCACATCTTGTGGGTCCTCAGCCATCCGATCTCTCATACAGCTTCGTTTCCCCATGATTGGGGTGATACGGAGAAACACGTATTTATATTGTTTTTCAAGATTCCACGCTGAGTGAACAATTTAACAAAGGTCTTGAAATCGTCATTGACCAAAAGGATTCTGAGTATTAGTAATCTCATATCCTTCTAATGCCATCACATGAAGCTATTTTGTATTGGCTGCTATTTATTTAAACAGTTGCAACTTCTAAAGCACCCCATTTAGGCTTTGATGTATTAACTGAAATACTCTAATATATGAAATAATATTATTGTTATATTCACTTAGTCATTTACATACAATTTGTAATTATGATTTGAAATTAAAAAAAAAGAAGCAAAAAATCCAGTGCGTTACCCATTCTGCTCTGTCGATATGTATCAGATAAATAAATATTCCTTCTCAAACCACAATGACTTTATGAATATTTCATGTTTCGTACATTGTACAGCTGCTAACTCTGATTTCCAGAGAGGCAGGCATTTACTCTACCAATGCTTAGTATCACCAACAAAAGAAACAAACAACCAAAATAAAGGAGAGGCACACTGGGGCCCATATCACTTCATTGGAGATTTGTCAAATGTTTAGTTACAGTTCTATTTATCTTCACTTCTTTTGAACGCAGGGCTCCGCATTAAACTTTTCTGTGCAAAAATATTTGCTTTACAAATAGATTTCATGGTACAACAAATTTGTGGAAAAAATGAATACTTAATTTCACAACATATTCATTTTTAACTATTTCTAAATGTTCTGATTTGCTTGCTTTTGGTCATTTATAGCTACTGTCATAACTCTTCCAATGCTAGTCATCATTTCTGGGAGATAATTGTCATGTACATAGAGGACTGTGGCATCACAACTAATAAAAACATAACAAAACACTTCAGTAGCATTCTTCAAAGATTTTGATTGAGCAGAAGTTACCATGCCACTGTCTAAGAGGCTGGGCTATACAAATTTTGGATACCAATATATCGATTTAGAAACAGGTATAGCTGCCATGGCACAAAACCCCTAATGCGAATGCAGTTATACCAGAATATAGCTCATTTCCATAAATTCAGGCATTGTTAAAGTGTTGGAAAGAGGCTCGCCATGTGGTTAATGCTCTGCACTGGGACTCAGAAAAGTTACATTCCCAGCACTGCCACTGACTTCTTAAGTTGTCTTGGGTAAATCATTTTATTTTTTTGTGCCTCAGTTTGTGCTAACTGTAAAACAGGGATAATAAGAGAATTCCTTATTTCGCAGGGACATTGTGAGGGTAAATTCACTAATGACTGTTGAGTACTCAGATACTACATTGATAGGGACCAGATACACACTTAAAGAGAAAGGGCAAAAGTTACTAATTTTGTCTTCATAAGAACCGATACAATAGAATGGATAATGTTCACAGACTTCATGGAGACTGTAAGGACATGTGCACAATGATTTGGCTGTAAAAGTTCATAAATTTCTGTGGAACATACAGAAAATTGTTTTTAAAAAAAATATTTATTTTTGGTGGTGGCTGGCAAAAATGTGCCAGGTAATTATTGGCATTCAAAAGCACAATGCCTTGTTTTTAGCCCTGGTCAAAAAAAAAAACCCAAAAAACAAAAAAAACATTTTCCATGAAAATTTGTCAATAAAATTTAAAAAGAATCATTTGAATCATTTAAAAAGAATCATTTCTCACCGAATTTTCATTTTCACTTTCTGAGGAGGAAATCTGGAGTCAGAAGACACCCAAAAAGGGCATGCATTTACAAAATGGGAGAAGGGAATAAAAACGCAGAAACGAGAGGAGTACAAAATCAAAGAAGGCAGGGAGGCAAGTCTTGATTTGTATGCCTTGTACAGCATATCATGAATGCTTAAATGAAAATAATAATGATAACAATAACTGCAGCAGTTATGCAGCAACTAATGGCAAATGTTTACCAATATCACAGTGATGAGTACAATATGTGGATCAAAGCAGAATGGAATAGAATAATGGATTCTTCTGCACAAAATGCTTGCAAGCGCACAGTGTAAACCATAGTGTTTGTTACAGTCCACTTTTAAGTAAAATAAATTACACCAATTTGTGGTGTGTGACGAACACCTTGAAAATTTGCGCCGGAAATTACTTTCTCTGATGCTCAATCTCATTGTGTTCCTACGGGCATGTACTGATATGGTAGAAAGTGGGAATAGGCTTCAGGTGATGTTGAAATTTTGATCTTTTCATTAGGAAATGTCTGAATTTTTTAACTATTTTCCTTGCAAATCCACCACCCTACCCACACAGCAGCCTAAACTCCCATACCTTGAGCAAGGTTTAATCCTGGAGCCTAGCTGGTTTATGGCTGTGTATTGGTCCTGAGCTGGCTACTTGTATGCCATTGGGACTTCTTAAACAGGCACGCCCAGAGAATTATGCTCACCTGAGAACATCTACAGACAATCCAGAAATGTTCAAGGTTTCAAAGGAGCAATCTAGGCCAGGCCTCATCCAGATATGGAGACTAGCTGAGCCCCACAGTGAAGTATTTGGCAACAAAGGGAAGCTGAGAAAAGTGGTCATACAGAAGAGGAATCTCAGGAAGCCTGAAGAGGGCTGGTGTATGTAGGGGCAATGGACAAGGAAGCTGGTGAGATCACAGCGAGGGACAGGACAGACATAAATATTTTCAAATGGTTATATGTTTCAAATATGTGCTGTTAATTTACAAACTGAACATGTTATTGACATATGGAAATAAGAGTGCTAAAACCACAATTCATTTTTATAACAACACATTTCACTAGCAAGTATCCCGTCTGAGTTTCAAACAAATGTGGTATAAACTATACCTCAGCATTACTGTGGGCTTATCTGTGGGGGAACCTGAGAAAGTTACCTGTCTTTGGCTCCACAGAAAAGTAAGGTTGTCCTTGCAGAATACTGTAAACGACTCTGGCACTATTGCCATAAGTAGGGTCATCTGCATCAGTAGCTGTTACCTGAACCACAGAAGTTCCTGTAAAAGGTTTAAGACACTACTTTAGTTAAATGTCCCACAGTTCTGAATTACATAAATGCAACAAACTAGACTTACAAAAAATGTTATAGTTTTTTCATCCCTCTGGTTCCACATAACATTGTGACTTGCCCACACTACATTTCCACACTGAATGTCAGCTCAACCTTTCTAAATGACTACTAGAGGCTGCTATGATACACGTTTGTAACGTCACTACAGATTCATTGCTGCCCTTTAAAACTGCCTCATCAAATATATAATAAGTACATGATCTTACTGAATATTTTAATATTTTGCCTTTATGGTTATTTTCCATTCTGATGAAAGAGCTGGCTTGGCTGTTGTGACGTAAGTGGTTTAGTAGTCCACAAGATAGGTACACAATGGTAAATGGCAGTGAGAACCACCCCACATTGCCCCATCAATGTAGCTCAGTACTGAACTGGAGGGACCACATTTAGGTATCAGAGGGACATTCATTCCCTATGACCACTTAATGTTTGCCCTCAGTGATCAGATCACCAATAAGGGAATGCATTAGGGCCCACTGTGATGGTAATTTGCTATGTAAACACTTGTCCACCCAGAAATGGGCTGAGACCCCAACTCATTATTAGCTATGGCAACAACTCTATACATGCCCCACCCCCACCACCCTCCCATGTCTAGGGCCAACTGGGGAAAGAAAACTGTTGGCCCCTTTAAGGATTGCCTCTCCTCATTGTCCTCTCCTCCTTGTGGGCTGTCAGCCTCCTCGTTGGCTTGGGGAGGGGAGGCTGGCTGGCTGAAAGGGTTCAGAGGAAGCCCATTGGCTCCCATACATTTGAGAGGAGGGTTAATAAGCCCTTTCCTTTGCCTGAGGTGCCATTCTGTATCTGGGATGAACAACTCCCACCCTGCCCCTGTTTGGGATTAGAGAACGACTGGGTTTCTGGGCCTTGGAGCATGCATCAGGCTAGTCAGCTTTTGGGAGCTTTGAAAGAATTTGTCTTTCACTGCCAGATTAGACAGGGAACGGTGTGTTTTTGTCACCTTCCTGTCAGCAACTTAGGGACCTGGTGCGTACTTAAGGCCTTTGATTCAGTACTTTAAACTGGTTCTACAGCTTGTTCTACAATGAAAGCTAACAGGGGCCTAGTGTAACCCTGCCAGAATCCCTAACTTTGGAGTGTATGAATATTATAACCATTATTCAACATTCTGTGCTCCTTGTGAATGCCAGGCTTACTATGTTGGAATTTACAAGGTCTCTAAGCATTGTCAATGGAGCTTACAAGGTCTGCAAATATTGCCAGTGATCCTTACAAGATCTGCAGACAGTAAGGTCTTTGTTCACTGCTCATGGTTCTTTCAAGGTCTGCAAATAAATGCCTGCAAGGAAATGACAAGCTCTGCAGCCACAACATAGGGAGCTTGTAAATTCTTCAAATTTAATTGTGCTTGTGTACTTTCAAACTCCATTGATGAAGCCAATTGAGCTTCTAAACTTCAGGAGAGGAATAAATCAGGGACTTATTAAATTATGAAACCATTCTTTGGTGCACCTGGCTCTCCTCTGGAGTGAAAATAAGTCCCTTCATACAAATATCTCCTGCAGAAAACTTTCTAGGTAGGAAACCTTCATATAGAAATCTTTCTACCACGTGTGTTTCTGAGCAGATATTCTATAAAGGACTTTTTACAAAAGAAATGTTGTGTGCAACCTACTTATTTATGTATATGATATTTAGCATGTAGAAGCCTTTGTGTAGCAAGTTTTCAGCATAAAATCACCTCAGATAGAAAGTTTTCTATGTGAAGATTGTGTATAGAAAATTACTCCTAGGAGGAGGATGTGTTCTATGGGAAGTAAAAAAAAGGGTTTGGAGAGTAAGTACTTGTAGCTCTCAGAAAATGCGGATAGTGATACAAAGCCCTTGTAAAAAAAAAATAACAAGGAGTCCTTGTGGCACCTTAGAGACTAACAAATTTATTTGGCCATAAGCTTTTGTGGGCTAGAACCCACTTCATCAGATGTATGGAGTGGAAAATACAGTAGCAGGTGTGTGTGTGTGTATATATATACACACACACACAGAGTACATGAAAAGATAGGAGTTGTCTTATCAAGTTGGGGGTCAGTGCTAACGAGACAATTCAATTAACAGTAGAATACCAAGGGAGGAAAAATCGCATTTGTGTCCATTTATTCTTTTGCATAGAGAAATCAGACATCAGGAATTATAACATTCAAAAACCAGTAGGAGAACACTTCAATCTCCCTGGTCACTCAGTAACAGACTTAAAAGTGGCAATTTTTCAACAAAAAAACTTCAAAAACAGACTCCAAAGAGAAACTGCAGAACTGGAATTAATTTGTAAACTGGACACCATCAAATTAGGTCTGAATAAAGGCTGGAAGTGGATGGGTCATTACAAAAACTAATTAACCCATACTAATTTCCCCCTACTGTTACTCATACCTTCTTGTGAACTGTCTGAAATGGGCCACCCTCATTACTACTACAAAAGTGATTTTTCCTCCCTTGGTATTCTACTGTTAATTGAATTGTCTCGTTAGCACTGACCCCCCCCCCCCAATTTGGTAAGCCAACTCCCATCTTTTCATGTACTGTGTTTATATATACCTGCTACTGTATTTTCCACTCCATGCATCTGATGACGTGGGTTCTAGTCCATGAATAAATTTGTTAGTCTCTAAGGTGCCACAAGGACTCCTTGTTGTTTTTGCTACAGACTAACACGGCTACCACTCTAAAGCCCTGGTAGTCTTTAGTCTTGCTTCTGGGTCTTCCAAGGAGTAGAACATACACCACCACCCCCAGCTGTTGTTTCATTTTATATTTATTTTTATATATATAATCATTATTATATAAGTTAACAAGATTATATATATATATATATATATATATATATATATATAAGTTAACAAGATTTTTATTTCATTCTTTTTCAAAAGTTCTTCATTAAAATAATTTAAAATAGTAGTGGAAAGAAATGAAAATACTTGGAAGTTTTACTTTACGAAAGAAAAGAAAAGAAAAGAATGATTGCCAAAAGTTTAAGATAGATTTAAGGACAATAATCTATATTGCTTAGAAAAAAATAATAGATTCTTCTATAGTAGTTACATTTCAAAACCAACACTTTTAAGTAAGGAAATTGGACATTAAGATTCCTACACCAACTTTAAAGCTACCTGTTACTTCTGACCACTTTTCTTCACATAATATTCAAATATGTGCTACAGAACCTCACTATTCCATGGACAGTTCTACATATTGGCTTGTAAAGTGTGAACCCACTTACTACTTATAGCCACAAACCCAAACCCTTTCTGGCCTCCAGGTATGAGGTAGGTATGATACATTTTGCAATTGATACTGCACATACAAACCACACCACACCTTACTCCCCTCTGTCACCACTAATGAACTGGGAGCCCCAATGAATCTCATTCACCATCCCAAGATTGGTCAGAGATCCCAAGCTACATATACAAGCAAAAGATTAATCTGCACCATATCAACCTACATATGTGGGCTGTGGAACCCACAGCAAAATACACATCTTCACAATGTCTTGTGGTTCCCCTATACTTGTATCGGCCAAAAATAAGAGTGTAAGTTATTTTATCCTCTGAACTTGCCAAGGAGGTTTCTTCCTTTTCTTTTAGATGTGGATCTAGCCACAATTATCCATGTCTTAGTCACTTCCAGGTAGGACCTCTGTAATTAGGCTACACCTTAAACTCTTACAGAAAATACAGCTAATGCAGAATGGGGCAGTGTGCTTATTAAATGGTGTTTCATGCAGGGAGCAAATATTACTATAAAGAAAGAGAGAGAATTATAATAACCTGAAGCACGTGACCTAACTACTCTCTTATTTAAAAATTTGGGGGATAGCAGCAGGACATTTGGAGTGAGTAACCGTTGGCTTTAGAATTCATTCCCACTTTGATAAACCAGAGCCCAGATTTGGTGCCATTCAGGACATGCTGCAAAAGGTCACCCATTCTCGTAGGTTATTCATGTTGGTAAAAGGTGGCTTGAGGTTAACTGGTTGTTGCAGAGGAGCTTATTTGGGACTGCGTGTTTGTAGGTTTTTAAAGATTGTAAGTACCTTGAGAAAAAGTAGAGGTATGGGGGCAGGGGTTTTAAATGAGGTTGTGCAAGGAATATTGGGGAGAAGATTGTTTTTAGGGCTGACATGGCCCATTAAGAAAAACCTGTGTAAAAAAAACCTATTTAGTGACTGGCTATGCTTGATAAAGGTCTGTTGTTGTTGTTGTTTTTTAAATTGTAAGCCCCTGTGGCACAGGAACAGATTAAAAAAATGAATTTAATAAATCATCATATAATGAAAGCCCATACCATTATACATCATATATGTAACAGGACAAATATATTTCTTTTATGTGGCAATGGGGAGGATTTCTTGTGAGTAAGTGAAAAACTGGCAGAGTAAAGAGACAGAATTAAGGTAGGCGTAAAAATCTTAATTTTCAGTCTCCTTACTTTTGAAGCATGTAGGGCCAGATTTTCAAGCGTTCTGCAAATCCACTTTTTTAGATGCCTATGTGGAAGCTTTTGCATACTGAGCCCTTTTGAAATTCCAGCCTACATCATTAGATCCATTCGCAAAGGGGTTTATTTTGTTGTTTAGAATATAACATTCTGTTACATTTTTAAAATAAGCAAAATACATTGTCACTCATAACTCTATCCATAATTTAACATTTTTTATTGTCTCTGACATTCCTATAGGCCATACTTCTGGATCTTTTTTATTTCCATATTTTATTATTGGAAAAATTTGCAAGCCATCAAAATTTAGTGGTATAGATTGGACATTAGGAAAAATTTCCTAACTATCAGAGTGGTTAAGCACTGGAATAAATTGCCTAGGGAGGTTGTGAAATCTCCATCACTGGGGATTTTTAAGAGCAGGTTGGACAAACACCTTTCAGGGATGGTCTAGTTAATACTTAGTCCTGCTATGAGTGCAGGGGACTGGACTAGATGACCTCTCGAGGTCCCTTCCAGTTCTCTGAGTCTATGAAGATATTCCCCTGCCCAATATTTTCATAAAAGGTCCAATCCAAAGCCCACTGAAGGAAAGACTCTGATTGGCTTCAATAGTCCTCAGATAATGTCCTAAAATATTTGCAAAATGTAATGTAGAATCATTATGCTTACATAATAATCCTATTTGGAAGTGTGGGGTTATAGTTCTCATGCTTTTATAGTTCATTTTGGTTTATAAACCTGTGATTTTTTTTCATTCTGTTTCATATTCAATTAAGAAATCCTTGTCATGGATATAATTTTAGACAAAATAGGAGAGAGATACTTTGTTCCCCCTTCATATTTCATGAATGCTGTAGATGTTTAATTAGAAATTATGTAATATGAATAAACTATGAATCAATGTGACTGTATAAGATAAATGCCACACAAGGGCTTCATGCTACTAAATCCTTAATCCAATATTAATGCAGTATTCAGTATTACTACAATGCAAACTCTGAAGATGTTTAAAATGTATTATTCTAGAAATCTCAAAGGAGATGCAATTCAATCCCATGCAGAGGTCAGCACAAGGCCTCCACACCACTCAAGTCCCACTTAAGATCTATGCTGAGGAGTTAAGTAGGAGTTAAATGGTATATATACTTTGTGCTGATGCCCTGCTCAGGGGAGAATTTCACCCAGTCATTTATGTTGGTGAAGCAGCAAGGAAATATGTGAAAGCAGCTCACATTAAACAATAGTGTGTGTTTTCTCTACCATATATAATGACACCAGTGTGTGTTTCTATCAAATGGCAAAAGAGTCAGGTGAAAATCCAGTTTCAAATGCACAACCAAAAGATTGTTTCCCACTATATTTTGGGGGGGAAAAGCCCTCACTTTTAGTGTGGCACTTACCCATGGTCACTTAGCAATATAAATCAATGTGGGAAAAGGCAGAAGTTACACCAGGAGGAAAGATGGAGATACCGTTCTTCAGGGTGCAAGATGAACAAGTTAGATGCTTTAAAACCTTACTTCTTGCTGCGCTCTGGATAAATTGACTCTGGATAAATTCCCTATTGTTTAGTATATACTAAACGATATATATTTAGTACAAAGATGACTGAAAACAGTGATGCTGCAGTAAAACTAGCTTAACCCTGGGAGAGGCCACTTAGTCTAAAAATTGGTATTTTGGCTTTTCTTGGTAATGAATATATTGCTCTTAACCTTTTGGATTATTTGTTCTTAAAAGTCTCTTGAATTATCTGAATCATCTTCTCTTTCCAGAGTGCAGTAGGAAACAGTTTTTAGAAGTATCTCGCCCCTTAACCTTCCCCCCAATATTTTACAAGAATATTGATCCCCGTCTTTCCTTTAAATGTTGCTTCTGCCTCTTCTGACACTGACCTAGAATGAAATGACCTTGGATAAATGCAAAATATCAACTGAGGGATCATATCTATGACTTCTGCTAAGTAAAATCAAATGGCAGTAGCAACGTTCTATTTACGTTCTCTCTGTTAATATTTTCGATTTCAAGTGAGTCTCCTTTATTTGTAATGGTGACTAATTATTTAAATAGACTCCGAAGCAAGAGATTTTTTGTTGTTGGTCTCTCTACTCCTTTCATTCTGGAACAGTAACATAGGGCTTGCCAACATACAAAAGTCAAACTGAAAAAAACTAAAATGATTGTAATTCACATCATTAGTGCAAGTCTGTGTGTGGACACTGTTCATTCAGATTGAATTCCCATTTTGATATAACTTAAATCAGTAAAAAATCAATTTAAATTAAATTGATATAGGGCAGTCTTAATCTGAAAGAAGAGTTTCCACATATACAGTTTCACTGAAATAACAAAAGGTTTGAATTACAACTGATTTCGGGTTTTTTTTTTTTTCGATTCCAGTTTATGCATAGACAAGCCCTTAGCTCGGAACAAAACTCACTGTAAGTGAGCCAGTTTCTGGAATAGATTCTCCGCTGGTGTAAATCAGCATAGCTCCATTGAACCAATAGAGCACTGCCAATTTACACCTGTTGATGAGCTGGTCCTTTAAAATGACGAAATAATAGATCTGAATGTAGACAGGGTTTAGATGTGCCTTATTCACATTGCTATCTTCCAGCAGAATACTTGAACTACTTACAAGGCTTCACTCTCTAATTACAATAAACTTCAAAACTCTCTTAAGTTGGGCCAAGCTCTGCTCTTGGGTCCATGCACATGTTCCCACAGAGCATAATTTGGCTATTACAGATGAGATACAGTTCTAACACACCCATATAACAGGTTTCAGAGTAACAGCCATGTTAGTCTGTATTCGCAAAAAGAAAAGGAGTACTTGTGGCACCTTAGAGACTAACCAATTTATTTGAGCATGAGCTTTCATGAGCTACAGCTCACTTCATCGGATGCATACCGTGGAAACTGCATCAGACATTATATACACATAGAGATCATGAAACAATACCTCCTCCCACCCCACTGTCCTGCTGGTAATAGCTTATCTAAAGTGTTCATCAAGTTGGGCCATTTCCAGCACAAATCCAGGTTTTCTCACCCTCCACCCCCCCACACACAAACTCACTCTCCTGCTGGTAATAGCCCATCCAAAGTGACAACTCTCTTCACAATGTGCATGATAATCAAGGTGGGCCATTTCCTGCACAAATCCAGGTTCTCTCACCCCCTCACTCCCCTCCAAAAACCACACACACAAACTCACTATCCTGCTGGTAATAGCTCATCCAAAGTGACCACTCTCCCTACAATGTGCATGGTAATCAAGGTGGGCCATGTCCAGCACAAATCCAGGCTTTCTCACCCCCCCCCCCTTCCCGGGGACACACACACACACACACAAACAAACTCACTCTCCTGCTGGCAATAGCTCATCCAAACTGACCACTCTCCAAGTTTAAATCCAAGTTTAACCAGAACGTCTGGGGGGGGGGGTAGGAAAAAACAAGGGGAAATAGGCTACCTTGCATAATGACTTAGCCACTCCCAGTCTCTCTTTAAGCCTAAATTAATACTATTGACTGGGAGTGGCTAAGTCATTATGCAAGGTAGCCTATTTCCCCTTGTTTTTTCCTACCCCCCCCCCCCAGACGTTCTGGTTAAACTTGGATTTAAACTTGGAGAGTGGTCAGTTTGGATGAGCTATTGCCAGCAGGAGAGTGAGTTTGTGTGTGTGTGTGTGTGTCCCCGGGAAAAGGCGGGGGGGGGGGTGAGAAAGCCTGGATTTGTGCTGGACATGGCCCACCTTGATTACCATGCACATTGTAGGGAGAGTGGTCACTTTGGATGAGCTATTACCAGCAGGAGAGTGAGTTTGTGTGTGTACGGGGGTGGGGGAGTGAGAGAACCTGGATTTGTGCAGGAAATGGCCCACCTTGATTATCATGCACATTGTGAAGAGAGTTGTCACTTTGGATGGGCTATTACCAGCAGGAGAGTGAGTTTGTGTGTGGGGGGGTGGAGGGTGAGAAAACCTGGATTTGTGCTGGAAATGGCCCAACTTGATGATCACTTTAGATAAGCTATTACCAGCAGGACAGTGGGGTGGGAGGAGGTATTGTTTCATGATCTCTGTGTGTATATAATGTCTGATGCAGTTTCCACGGTATGCATCCGATGAAGTGAGCTGTAGCTCACGAAAGCTCATGCTCAAATAAATTGGTTAGTCTCTAAGGTGCCACAAGTACACCCATATAAGCAACACATACTAAAAACTTTATGTACTAAATGGCTTTTTAAAGAATTTGTTCATAATGGAGTTTTGTATAAAAAAGGAGGTATTATCACCTCTCTGTGCCAGAGCGTAGGTGTGAAACTTTCTGTTCTTAATGAGAATTATAAAACAAAGGTCTGGGCACTGAAATGAGAAGTACACCATAAAATGCCTGTCTAAATCCCTATATAGCTAATTTTAGTTTTTCTACATTTTTGAAAGAATAAATATTTTGTAAAGCCTTATTTTCCCATCAAGCCTGCAAACATCCAACTGGTGCAGGTGGCTCATAAATAATTAAATAGCTTGGTGTGATACTGTAAAAAATAATGACGTTTTAAGAAAGATAGTAACAGATTTCCCAAGACATGAACAATGTATTCTCTACTTACCCACGGGAGACATCTCCGGAACCCCAGCAGTGTAAGGGCCATCCAGAAATTTTGGTTCATTGTCATTGATGTCCTGAATCTTAATGACGAACTCCGACTCTGGTTCCACAGGTTTATTAGTGAGCCTATCTAGTGCTTGTGCTCGGAGCGTGTAGTAGGCCTGCTCTTCCCGATCCAGCCTCTTTGTAGCATGAATATCCCCCGTGTTCTCATCAATAATGAAAATGGAACTTGCCCCTTCGCCTGACAAGATGTATTTGATGGAGCCATCTCCTTTATCAACATCAGAGTGAAGCTGGTGAAAAATTGATGAGAGATGAGATTAACTTACAAGAGAGTCAGTGATATGGAGATATGTAAAACTAATTCTTATGTCATGCAGCAGTACCTGAAATTCTATTGTTCTTGGAAAGATAAGCTGAATGTTTATTGTGTGCGGCATGTGAAAGACTATTAGAATCTGTCAGCTAGCTCTTGTGAGCAAGAACATTTCTTTCCTTTCTGTATGCAATCTCACTTTCAAAAGCATTTTATGTCATTCCAAAACAATAGTAGCCTCATGCTGTATTTCTGTTCTATACTGATATCTGTTCTTAAATATGGGTAACCATTTAGTAGCTATCAATGCCTATCTGACAGGATGTTTGTGGTTTTGGAGGAAAGTTACTATCAACTAAATCTCAATAATTGTCTCTTACCTTTTGGGTACTCTAGATCAGCTACAAGATAGTTTTCCCAGTGTTCATTGTACAGCATAGGCTGGGAGAATCAGAACAGATTAGAGAATCAAGGAGTCTTGCTCTGCTACTAACATATTGTATGGCCTTGAACCAGTCACTTCATTCTGTACCTCAGTTTCCTCATATGTAAAATGTGGATAACCCTTACTGGCCTGCAAAGAGTTGCACTAGTGCTAAAAATTATCATTTCATTGAGATCAAGATAAAGTTCACAAAATTCCATCCAAAACATGAGCAAAATGCAATTTTGTAATACAAATGGCAGAAGTGTAGATCAATAAAAACCTGGAAAACAGTCACACCTTCCTATGCTCCAGGAATGATATCAGTTTATTCATTATACATCACCTAAAGCCTGTCCTAAAATACAGGAACAGTATAACCAATCTGCACCTACACAGGTAGTAAGAGCACTGTATGGTACAGCTGCATTTCATAGCTAGAACCAACTCTGCTTCACACAGGTATTCGGCTAGAACATGAAAAGAACCAAGAGATGGTCTAACACCTTTATATAATGTCTACCACTTCACAGCATGAATGTCAAGTGTAGCTATAATGGGAAGGTAACAGAATCCACACATGCACATCCCCAACTCTCCCCCCCGCCCCTGCACAATAAAGCCCCAAACAAACAAAAAACACTTCAGTAGGGAACAAGTGAAAACATGAGTCATGTGCACTTTAGCACCTGCTGTTTTGTTAAAAGATTATGTTACTTGAGGACAATGACAAAGATGTTCAAACTGGTTGCTTCTTTTATCCTCTTTGGAACACCTTTCACCCCCATATCAAACGCAGGTTGAGCCTGTTTGTATTTTACCGTCTTCATTATCATTCTTTCCATCACTAATATATATTTTTTTTCTCAGCTGGGAGTATCACTAGGATTGTAATCACTGCCAGAATTCATGGGCAGAAAATTGCTGTCTGAGTCAGAACTTAATACAATTGCAAAAGGCCTGTGTCATTTCAGCTGTGAAAAATTGGAGACCAATTCTGAATTTTTCCAGTGGATAAAGAGCTACATATTACATATACATTACCTAGCTTATAGCCCCTGGGTAGCTACTATTTATGCAGTTGCAGTATGCTCCTTCTACCAATCTTAATAGCTGGACTGCAGTCTGAGCTTTTAGTGGACAACTGATACTTTGTAGACTGAAAGAGTGACCAGCAACGTTCTTTGATACTACAAAATTCAGGCTGTGGGTGAGCTACACTCAATGCCCATTTTGTTTTATTAGAATTACAGAATATTTTGTTCTTCTAAATCTTTAAAAAACAGTGCCCCGGCCTCAACTAGCTGCAGAAGCACTCCCTATTTATTTAACCCTAGGGGAAACCCTATATCACCACAGAAGGCAATGTGGTGCTCTCATTTTATAAGAACACCCTAAAAAGTTTGTTTAAACACTTTTTTGAATATTTTCATACCGGCATGAGAAAAATGAAAGTTCCATGCAAGGAACAATGTAAAAAATTAAACTGTACTGAAAGGATCCAGAGAGCTGGAGAATGTACACATCAGCCTTGCTTTAGATCTCTTTAGTGTAAGTCTACTATTAAGATGGAGGAAGTAACTCACCTTGCAGACTAAGCATAGGACTTAGACCCAGGAGTTCTGGGCTCTGCTTCCATCTCTGCTACTGACTATTAATGTGCCTGTGGACTAGTCACACTCTGTTATTCGGTTTCCCCGTCTGAAAGTGGAATAATGATATTTCCCCAGGTCAGAGTCTAAAGCTTTGTAAAGCTTAATACATGTCTGCAAAGCACTTTGAGACCCTTGGAAGGGCTAAATATTAACATTTGGCCTTGTAACTGACCTGGGTTCATCCTGGGGGATTAATATGCAAAAGGAGATGGTGCCACCTCTGCAGCGCTCTTTGCCAGCTGTTTTCCAGGAAAACCCTACTATGGAACTCTGCGTGGAAGAGCTCCAGGGAGTTTCTGCAACTCAGATGGTGTGTAAGGTAGAGTAGTATTGCTCTGTGGCATTGCCCCCAATAGGCCCTCCACTGCACTTGTGATTCCCCACATAGAAATCCAAGAGGGACCTAACACAGAAGTCTAAAAGGGGACTCAGCCATTAGCAGTGCAAATACATTGATTTCAGGGGAGAGGTTATCCAGTAGAGCAACATAAATGACTCATGTCTCTGCAGAGGGGGTGGTCCCAAGGATCCAAAAGGGTTTGGACATTTTGCCCACTCCCACTCTGGAGTTCCCCTAACTCATTGCCTTTCAGGCACAGTTTGTAGGAAATCCAGTGATCTTAACCTCACAGAGATCTCCTACCCCACCAACCACAGATTTCTTTACAAGGGGCCATAATTAGGGGGGAATGGTCTTCATTACTTTCTCTAAACCCCAAACTTTTTTTTTTCAAGGATTTCAGATCTCTTCATTTAAAGAAGGAACAACATGTTCCTCCCAATTCCTAATGCCTCCGTGCAAGTCCACCTTTAGTCAATCCCTCACATTAGCTGCACCACGCATACACATGTGGGGATCTAGGTCACATTATCTCTATCTTCCAAGATCTGTTGTACGGGCCCAGATGCCTCTCAGCTGAGCCCCAAGCACATCTACTATTAGGTTTTGTAGGTTCTGTGGGTTAATCTTCCCTGGCATGCATTGTGCACAAGAGCTCACAAGAACTAAAAGTGAAGGCACCAGGCTCGAAAAGAGAAAACACAGAACGCACCCTTAACAGTGGGAGAACGTTACCATAACCACGAATATTTAGGGACAACTAACAACTCTAGAAAGTCGGCTCATGTGAGCCTGCTGGGAGTGACGAGATCTCCAGAGGTTTGGTAATGATCTGAATTACATATACACATTTTTTGAGGTTTATGTATCACTAATGGCAATTATTTTCACTGTGGGCTTGACCCTGCAAGTTGCTGAGAGCCCTTAACTCCCAATGAAATCAACAGGAATAAAGGTCACTTAGCGCTTCACAGGATCAAGCCCTAAAAAAAAAAAATCACTTTGAAATATTCTTGTGTGTATGTGTGAGAGAGAGAAACAGTGAGCTCTTTAGATTCTGACCAGCAGACACTACTTCTCCAATCAAAAAATGAACCAAATTTTGCCCTCAGTTACACCCATGGGTCCCGCTGAACCAGAAGGGCTAAAGCTTAGGGTACAGTCTGACCTACTGTGTTTGTATTTATTTAGTTCGGACAACAATTACTCTGCCATTCAGGGTCTAACGAATGTCTAGTCAATTTCTTTCAGATTCACTGACACTAAATGCTCTCTGCTTTCAGTCATCTTGTAGGTTGTGATTCACAGGGCCAATGATAACATTGGTTTGCATTACTTAGCATTATTGTGTGCTGTTGTAATATCTCCTATAGAGCTAAAAATCTATTTCCATCAATAACTATGGATACCTGTGCACCAGAGTCAATTTGTCTAACCAGCAAGGCTCTCCCTGACTTCTAGAGGCACGGACTGCTATTTCCCTGGTTTCAGACTCCCTCAAAAGAGGTGGAATGCTAATGTTCCTGTCTTCCTCTTTTTAACATTAAATACATTTTAAATCTATATCTGAAGCTGTTCCTCGTGGTGACAGGATTGTTAATGGCTGCTGTTTCATTGCAAGGTCCAGAGATGCAAGGCCTGGGGCAGAGTGGAAAACATAGGGACAGAAAGAGCATGAGGAGCTGCAGGCTTTCCACCACCAACAGGATCACAAAGGCTGTGGTGAGAAAGAGGGAGAGAGAAAGAGTATGAGAAGCTGCAGTATTCAGAGATTCAGAAATATTGGGCTTTGAATCGAATATAGATACTTATTCTCAGCATAACTGAGAAAGTCTCTTGCAGAGGAGTCACCACACTTCACCCCTTTCCTATCACTATGAAAAGTATGAGAAAGGGATGGAGGACAAAGGAGAACTGATTCCTCATTCATAGTTCTCTGTACTGTGGAGATGACACAAATGTACCTGCTCTCTTGTCTTAACACTAAAACTGAGCAGGGATGATGAGGAGATAGGAGGATGAGGGTTGGGGGAAGTAATAAAGAAAGACAAAATGGCAGAACTCTCTGTTTTGGCTCTACAATTGTGGATTCTTCAGGTTTTATGTCCAGCCAACAGTTTGGATGAGCTAGGTCCCTGACAGCACCCTTCTCCCCATCTCCTCCACCCCCCCTCCCCCCGCCCACACACACACTCATCTCACCAAAAAGACTGGAGATGGATTGTGAAGTTGTCATAAATATAAAGGGAAGGGTAAACCCCTTTGAAATCCTTCCTGGCTAGGGGAAAGCTCCTCTCACCTGTAAAGGGTTAAGAAGGTAAAGGTAACCTCGCTGGCACCTGACCAAAATGACCAATGAGGAGACAAGATACTTTCAAAAGCTGGGAGGAGGGAGAGAAACAAAGGGTCTGTGTGTCTGTCAATAGTCTGTCTATATGCTGGTTTCTGTCGGGGATAGACCAGGAATGGAGTCTTAGAACTTTTAGTAAGTAATCTAGCTAGGTATGTGTTAGATTATGATTTCTTTAAATGGCTGAGAAAAGAATTGTGCTGAATAG